CACTGGGTGTTATGCACAAACAATGAATCATGGAACACTTCATCTAGAACTAATGATGTAATGTATGGGGATTAACATAAGAATAAAAAAAAAAAAAAAAAGTGGATGAGGGAAGCAGAAGATCAGAGAGCATGCCCTACAGAAGAATGGCCAGAAAAATGCAATGTCGTTGGCTTTAAAGATGCAAGAAGGGGACCATGAGCCAAAACCTGAAGGCAGACTCTAGAAGCTAGAAAAGACAAGGCAAGGGATTCTCCCCTGGAGCCTCCAGAAAGGAATACAGCTCCGCCAACACTTGATTTTAGCCCAGTGAGACGCGTGTTGGATTCTCACCTACAGAGCTGTAAGATAATAAATGAGTATTTTTTGAAGCCACTCAAAACCCGTGGTCATTTGTTACAACAGCAACAGGACACTAATACAGTAACTCTGCAGAACCGTATGGAACTTCACAGATCACAGAGCCCCTGCTTTTGTACTTTCCAGGGAGGGACTCCTGCTTCCCACCTTGGCACAGTGAGGACAATGGGTAGAAGTAAAACCCAAGTTATCAGCAGTGGGTGGCTGACCTCTGCTCTGGAAACCCTCCCAACAATTCACCAACCCCCGCCTTGGGAGGGTGGTCTGGTTTGGAACAGAGTGACCATGGCTTCTACAGGTCTGTGCCTTTCATGGGCCATCTGTCTCCTGCCCTCAGAGACAACAGAAACAATAGGGCAATTAACTGGGTAGCAATTAACCCTGTGGGTGTCCATGCATAACCGAGAAACGTGTCCTGCCTTCCTCGAAAGAATGAAGATTGAGCGGCCAGGGCGCACCAGCCCCACCTGCCTGGCTGGCATCCAATCAGGAAAATACAACACAGGTGCATCCTCTTGTCCCACATCTCTGCCACTTTCCCAGGTTCCTTAAGGGCCAGGTTGTTCTGAGTTCCTCATCTCTTTCTCCTTTCATGAAAACATGTCTTTCCTGAGAAGGCTTTCAGTTCAGCACCCAGAGAACTAACTGAATGGCAGGTTTCCGTGGAGTGGAGAACCGTAACACAATTCTCCCGAACTGCAGTTTGGTGCCAGGTCCTCTGCTGTCCCTGGTCCACCTCCAGATGACCCGGGAATGCTCTGCTAACGCATCAGGGCTCTGGGACCATCCTGATGTCCAGCTCAGCTCAGCGTGAAGCCCCTGATCTACTTCTTAGGACGAGCCCAAGGGTCATGATATGGCACATCAGCTCTCACCCCATCAGTCCTCCTGTCTCAGGGATCACGTGCTTTATGGCCAAGGAAAAAGTCAACTGAATGGCCTGCCAGCCAGTGGGCCCCTCCTTCCTCCAACCACCGACGTGGACCAGTGACTTCAAAGTATTATGCTAATCCCAAGCACTGGTCTAATTGGGTGACTTTCAGCAGCGGCTCCGATTCTAAAATGCAGCGGACTTATTGCAAATGCATATTCATCGGAACTATTCCTGCTCGCTCCGTCTCACAGACTACAGTGCTAAAAGTACAAAAATACACCAGCAAGGCTACGTATGCCAAGTAAAAGGGGCTGGGATCACCGACAGAAGGCACTTGACAGGCAACCCTTCGGGGCTCGGGAAAGGGGCAGGGAGGTGGGTGGAGACGGAGAGCATATGTGTGCATGTGTATGAAGGTGTGAGCACGCTCAAATTCATCCGGGACCAGCCGGGATGGGGGCGGGGTGGGGTGGGGAGAGGGATCCACGCATGTGCACACACAGTGTTTCAGGACTCAGAATGACCCGAGGGAGGAGTGAGGAATGAAAGGTTGAAATCTGAATGAAGAAATGCAGGTTGAATAGGAGGGAAAAATGTGTCTCAGCTGGAAGCTCCATTAGACAGTGAAATTGTCTCCTGAGGGACCTGGTTGGGAAGCTCCCTGTTCAAGACATCTGAAAGTGGACCGGCCAAAGGGAGGGGAGCGCTGTGGGACATCACCTTACCTCCTGGCTGCCTCTGGAAGAACCTACAGAACACTTTTCTTTGTCCTTTCCTGATGGTCCTCTGTTCCGCTTTCCCTTCCTTTGATGGACCGGCCAGGTCTCCGCCTACCTGCCCCTCCGCTCTCTCCCTATTCTTTCCCTCCTCAGATGAATCAAGCTCCAGTCAGCAGCTGCCTAATCTGTGAAAGCATGGGGAGGCCTTAGGGCTGAGAGAGTCCCACCCTGGATCCCAGGCACTCATCCATCTTTGATGGAGCACAGCTCCGGGAACAGAGCAAGTGCTCAGAGACCGGGAAGGGGGTGTGTGAAAGATGGACTGGCCCAGCCTCCTCACAGCTTGCCCTGCTCCAGGTCCCCTTACCGGAGCACAGCTGTTAGACTGGGAAGTGGGAGGTGGCACCGTGTTCTCCCTGAGCTGGAGGCTCCTGGCCCTGCCCCAGAAACACTGCAGAACTACGCGTCTCCATGAACCAGATCTCCCTCTCCTTTACACCTGCTTGATACCTGGCTTTGCTGCTTTCTTTCTCTGTCCTCTCCTCTCTGTGAGGATTGCATCATTCCGCCCTTAAAAGAAAGGAGGGCTGGCGACAGACAACAGTGTTGAGGGGCACAAACATGCCAACGGAAAGGTACCAGCAGCTGAGGGCTTCATCCAATCCTGCCTCCCTTTACCTGCCAGGTTCAGTCACTCTTCATCCACAGTGCAGGAGCGACTTAGCACACTCTCAACCAAATGGCCTTTCTAGGTCCTAGCATCCCATATTTTAGTTCCCATAGCTGATAACAAAGTAGAAAATCACCTTGGGCGAAGTAGGAGTTCATTGCCAGGGTCTCAAAGGAGACATACTTTTATTTTTCTCTACCATTCCTGGCGTAACTTACTTCTTTCATCATTCTGGCCTTAGGTAGGTTTCTCCTCAAATCTCCTGCTACAGTCATTTGACCCAAGACAAAGGTAGAATTTCCTATTACGGTCAATACAGTCGAATTCCTATCAGAGTCAATGTCATACTATTCAGCAGCTAATTACTTCTCGAATTGTTTGGCGGTATCCCTCACCAAGTAGATTGTAACATTGGAAACAAAGAATCCTGCTATATAATTCATGAAATTTCCCTAGGATAGTGATAGTACACACAGTAGGTGCTCCATAAATATTTCTTGATTAACTGACTGGTGATTAGCTTCTCATCTCTGTCAAGAGAAAATTCATAATTTATTTTTTTATTATTTATTTATTTTTAAGATTTCATTTATTTGTGGGAAAGAGAGAGAGCACAAGCAGGGGGGAGGGACAGAGGCAGAGGGAGAGGGAGAAGCAGGCTCCCCGCTGAGCAGGGAGCCTGCACCACGCAAGGCTCCATCCCGGGACCCTGGGATCATGACCTGAGCTGAAGGCAGACGCTTAACTGACTGAGCCACCCAGGTGCTCCTTATTCTTTCTTTCTTTCTTTATTTTAGAGAGAGGTGGGGGGAGGAGAGAGAGAGAGAGAATCTTAAGCAGGCTCCATGCCCAGCACAGAGCCTGGCCCCGGGCTGATCTCACAACCCTGAGATCGTGACCTGAGCCGAAAATAAAAGTCAGCCACTTGATCGACTGAGCCACCCAGGTCCCCTGAGAAAATTCATAATTTAGATTAGACAGTGCTGACAACTAGAGAGGGATCATTTTTTTACCTTCTTTCTCTCTTTTTTTAAAGATTTTATTTTTAAGTGATCTCTACACCCAGCATGGGGCTCGAACTCACAACCTCAAGATTAAGAGTTGCATGTTCTACCAGCTAGCCAGCCAGGCGCCTTCTCTTTTATTCACACGTATTTTCATCTATGTATCTGCATTACTTCTTACCCTGTGCCCCCCCCACCCCAACTGATGGGGCGGACATACCACGCAACCACTGGAGTCCAGCTTGCGGTCTGAGATGCAGCGGAAGTTCTTACTGCAGCCCCCGTTATCCTTGCTGCAATCCCGCACTGGCCCAAAGGAATCCAGCAGAACCTCCAGGCTGTCAAAGGAGGACGAGGTCATCAGCTCCTCTCTGTGGGGAGACACGGGGCGGGGGGGAGGGGGAGGAGTCAAGGGACTTCAGGTGCAACAAGTAGCATCACATTCCAAGTTCCTATCTAGTCAACCGTGTCACGTCTCGCTCTCGCTCACACAGAGTAAAGATCAGCCACACTCTGAGCCTTGAACTAACAAATTATGGACATTCTCCATATCTGGGAAATGAGCCAAGGCTATAATGCCTGGTCAAAGAAGGAGGTCTAAACTTGGGCAAGGAAATTAACATTTTATTGCCTGTCAGTCCTTAGGGGATGTGGGAAGTGCTTACAAACTCTAATTTTATGTCCTCTCCCAGAGCATGAGCCTTGGGGTGTGCGATATTGACCCAGATAGAGTAGATGCTGGCACTTCGTACTGGGAATCGGAAGGCAGCTTGCCAACCTCCCCTTTCAGCTTGTTGTGATTCCTTCCCTAGCTCCTTGGGCCTTCAGGTAGTTCCTCACTCAGCTCCCCACGCCAAGTGTGGCCTCGGCTCCCTGGGCCCAGACGCACCTGACCTCCACAGCGTCCTCCATCACTGTCATGTCCGTCTTACACTTCGCGGAAGGGTTAATGGCCAGTTCAGCCGGTGGGATCACAAAACTCTTGCTGAGGGGCAGCCACATGCCCTCCCCAAGGGTGTAGGTGAATCTGCAGGGACACCCAATACCAGGTGGTTACGGCGGGGGGACCAGCAGCCCGCAGGAGGACCGAGCCTTCTGCTGTCACGGGCTTCCTTCTCAGCCCTTGCCACCTCTTCAGAAAAGGGAGCTGACGGCCATTCTGTGGACAAGACGACTGAGCCCGAGGGAGGCAGAGAGGCCTACTCCTGCGCACCTGTCCAGCCATCTGGGAGAACTGATGGTGGCACCCACTCACCAGTTGTTGGAAGTGGTTTTTACCAAGCCCTAGGAAATCCAATTCCAGTTTCCTTCAGATGTGAAGCTGGGCTTCCTCAATCCTAAGTCAGATATAACTGGAAGAATTTTGATTGAAGCGACAGGCTGGCCTCCCACCATCCCCATCCCTCGGATTACACACTCAGTAGTAGTGGTGGTTGCTCTCTGTGCCTGGAGAAACCCTACCAGGGGAAAGGAAGTGAGAAGCTCCCCGCGTTCTGGTTGTTGTGTGATGCACACAGAAACAGCTTAAGCCAGGAGCCCCAGGGAGAGGAGAAGAGGATGAACAGAACAAGCCTGGATGTATTCTCCAAACTCCTACCCACACCCTCAGCTAATGTCTGTAACCCTCGGGAGGCAGGGGAGATTGTGTTGTGTTTTTTTTTTTTTTAAATTCTTATAACAGGGGCTAAAAGGAATAAAAGAATCAATCAGCATTTCAAAGGAGAGCTTAAGGAAACCATGAAAGATTATTTGTTTATTTATTCATTCATTCTATTTCAAAGGCATTCAAATACTCTGTGTTCACAGTCAAAAACAGTCTATGGGATAAAAGCCAGTGTGGGTGGGATATCACAAGGCTGTGGCAGTCTGGCGGCCCCTTCCAACTTAAATGCAGAGGGAGGAACAATTGAAGAATGCCTACAATTAGAAAGAACCCAGCCCTGGCTTGATCAGCATGCTGGTCACAGAGCACCACTTCAGAATCTCGCTCTTACCTCTCCCTTAACCCACACACTCCCTTCTCCACTCCCTGGGATTGCCGGAGATGCTAGGAAACCAGACTGATGGCATGAGATTTTTTATGAGAAATGTAGCGCTCTGGAATGCTGGCTGCAGAGAATACCCATAGACCAAGGCTCGCGAGATTTTCACCCACTCCTTGAATGACAGCCCTAGGAGCTAGAACGGCTGAAAGAAGAGAAGGCAGGTGCCTAGGGGATAGGCAAAACCACTGAGCATGTGGGATATGGCCAGGATTTGGGAGATGGTTCCCTCATTCCCAACCTCACTCTTGGTCCCCTACTTCTCTGACCTGCTGGGCAAATCTCCGCATTAAGCAGCACTGAAATATCAACAGTGCCTCTTGCTCTGAAGGAGGCCCTCAACTCTTCCCAGCCCTGGGGACAGAAGGCAATAGTTGGGGCTAGGTCTGTGCAGGGACACAGGGAGGGGTCTGCACCAGGTGAGGGAAGCCCGTTAGTAGGGGACAGAAGAGGACACCTGCCAAAACTGAAGGCCTGCCAGCCCCTTCACACACACACACACACACACACACACACACACACACGCACCCTCCCTCACCTGGCAAGATTAAAGAGCCAATTCAGGGCAAGTGATTGCCCCAAAGTGCTTGGAATTTGGAACTTAGGGTTGAAGTGGGTCGAAGGCAACAACATGTGAGTAGTTGTGCTGACCCTGCATTTCAGGATGGACATTCTTGAGGGCAACATTACAGTAGGGAGGCTGGGCTGAGGGCACCACTAATACTATAAATAATCTGTTGTTTCCGAGGGAACATATGCAAGTTTGAATGGTACTGGGAGGAAGCAGTTTATTTGTTTATTTGGACATAGAGGTGAATTTCTGTTTTCTATTTTGGTTACAAAATTACAAGTTTGCACAGATGCAGAGCAACAAATCTGGGACCTGTAGCTTATAATTTATGAAACAGGTTTTAGGAAACAGTTGGCAGTTCTAGCATATTTCTGATGGTTAATTTTCCTTTTGGAAGAGAGTCCCACGTCCCTCCATTTCAGCTTTCCCTTCCTCTGCATGCAGCAACAACTCAAAGGGAACAGAAAGCTACCTTTTTCTCCAGCTAACACTGCTCAGTGCATCTAAGACCTACAGAGCAAAGTGTACATCTCCAAAGATGCCATTCCCACCCACTTCTTCAGCTTCTCCTTAAACCAAACACTGCCTCACACTTTGTGCTTCTACGGTGCAAGCTGACTGTAGCTCCTAAAGTCACCTTCATTTTCTCACCTCTTTGCCTTTGCTCTTGATGATCCATTATGAATTTGCTTCCCTTTATTCTTTGCTGGATGCCAGTCATTTTAAAACTCAGTTAAAAATTCCCACCCCTTCCAGAAAGCCCTCCAGGATCTTCAGGCTCAACTTCAGGCTGAGAAATGGACGCTCCTCTGTGCACACACATGGCCCCTGGCTGCCCTGGAGATGTTGAATTGTGCCCACCTTTTCCTTTGTCTGTCACCACTCAGAAGAATGTGCTCTCTTGGATGGCATCTTTGTTTTCCCATTGCCTAACACAAATTTTTGGTCCAAGGGGTGGGGGTCACTCCATAAGTATTTATTGACTGATCAATAGGAGATTTAGTTATGTTCTCCAGTTTGCACAGTCTACAGGGGGATATAATCTCCATTTTCAAATTTAAAAGTAGAAGTGATGGTGAAGATTATCCTTCATTTAGAGCAGGACAGGGCTTAATCTCTGGGTTTGAATGGATTTAGTGGTCAAGAAGGATCTGGGTTTCACGTCGTGAGGAATTCGCAAAGTGCCCAGTAGTTTCTGAGACATAACGCTGGACCACATTAGCAAGAAAAAACAGTGTGATCTTCAATCCCTGGTAGGGCCAAGGTGAAACCTGCCGAGGAAGCAGTCAGGTGTGGCTGAGACTAACCTCACTTGAGAAATCTCACCATGACAGGTGCTCCGTAGAGCTGCTCCATTTATCCTCACAACAGTCCTCTGAGGTTGGTCACTTGGCTCCATTTCACTGATTTGTCAATTAAGATTGTAAGGAGCTTAGCAACCTCCCAAAGGTCACCTCTCCGTAGGAAAGATGGGGCTTGGTGTACCCAAGTAAGGCTCACAGAGCTTTCCAGCCCATACTGGCTCATGCCTATGAGATTCTAAAGTTTTCTTTCCTCTGCAAAATTTACTGAGTAACTCCAAAAACCAAATATAGAACAAACTGTCAGAGAAAAAGCTGTGTCCTGAAATCTCATCTGTCCCTCATTCATACAGATTTGGCAGGAATGACTTCAAAAAGCCACCAAAGAGAAATTGGGAGAGCATCTGGAATGCTTTCCCAAGTTGGGCCTTCTCTCGTGACAGCTGGTGGTGACCACTGCGGTTGATGGCTCAGCTGTAGCCTGAGTCGTGCACACGACACTGTTGAACTAGCTTAAAACTTCTGTTCAGAGGTCAACACTTGCCAGAGAGCACTGGACAGAATAAGCCTATACACTCACTGCGGCTTGGCATCAAAAAGAATGTGAGGAAATGGATGAATAGCTCTTGGCCTGGCATCTCCACTCTTCTCCAGAGCAGGCCAGTCCAGGATGAATTGTTGTTCCCAGTGACACATGTACTCATGTGGGAAGGAAGGTCTCTGAGAGAGAAATCTGGTCTGCACCAATCCCTTTCACCAAAGGGTCTAGTGGAATGGGATGATCCTAGCCACAATGGAAAGGACATCTCTGGGACCCCCCGGGGTTTGCTGAGAAGACTTAGCTGGAGGTTCAGCTTTCTCGGACCCTTTGAGTCTAGCCTGGGCCCTTCCCAGCTTCTTTGGGATTGCAGATTACTGAGGCTGGGTTGGGTATCAAGGTCCTTTATTAATCTGATTTCAAGTCCTTAGGAAACACCTGAAATGATCAACTACAGATATTTACTGGAGATCTACTGTGTTCCAAATTGTGTGTTAGATGTTAAATATTTAAAGCCATATAGGGTACTACCCTTTCCCTCAAGAAGACAACCATTTCACTGGGGAAATAAATAGGCAAATAAAAATAAACATGAGAGGGCGCCTGGGTGGCTCAGTCGTTAAGCGTCTGCCTTCGGCTCAGGTCATGATCCTGGAGTCCCTGGATCGAGTCCCGCATCGGGCTCCCTGCTCAGCGGGGAGTCTGCTTCTCCCTCTGACCCTCCCCCCTCTCATGTGCTCTCTCTCATTCTCTCTCAAATAAATAAATAAAATCTTTAAAAAAAAATAAATAAACATGAGATAAAATAATTGACACATAAATATTACAGTCACTACATTACAGATATTTGGAGGGGAGAAAGTCATTGTGGGTTGGAGAAGCTTTAGAACAACGTTTCTCAAACCTGGGTAGAGATCAGGATTACCATGGTGCTTTGCAAGAACTTTTATGGCCTGGCCCCACATCTCAGAACTTTCCAATTTATTGGTTTGTGCCGGGTAAGATCACTGGTCATTTCTGAAGCCGACTGGGATTCTCCTGGAGGACCAGGGTGGGAGAACAATTTTTGGATGAAACTGTAAATTCTTTGAAGTCAGGGACTATCTCAGTCATATTTGTTTGATCAATCCAAAACATCTAAACCAGTTTCTTGCAATGGTGTAGACCATGAAAATGGGTAGTGTTTATATTAGGAGGAGAATATATATTCTTGTTAGAGGAAAGAGGATGAGCCACAGTGCAGAGGAGGAACTCTTCAAGTTGCTGGGGACAGTGGATCAGGTAGGGAATAGATTTGACTAAGAACAGAAGGTTCCACAGGAGAAGAGCAATATATAATACAGACTTGTATACTGACATTCAACAGCAGAAAGACTCAAATGTCAGAAATGTGCAGTGGCTTGGAATTCATCAGGACACTAAACTGTAGGTGAGCAGAATAGCAAGTAAACAGTCCTTAGCTTCTTTAAGAGATTATGGTCACTGACCAGGTCACAGAATTTTCCAGAATAGCCACTGGCAGTTGGTTTACTCAGATCCCAGAGTGGTTTCGATTAAAGTTCCTAATACCTGTAACAGGTAAATCATGACCCACTGCATTTGTCGGAGAGACTAGTTATTGTCACGTTAGGGACCAACATGATTGATTACTGCACTGGCTCCCGAAATAGTTGACTGAAAGGGTCAAACCATGCAACTGACCCCTCGGTAGTGCTAGGGCATCACATCCAGTTGGCAGCTAACAAACTTGAAAAGAATAAATGGTGCTTGTGGGGATGGAAACACAGTTCTTGTGCAGGTTCTGCTCTAATGGCAATTTCATTAAGGTCCCTGTTTTTCAAAGTGTTAGTTTCTGACTTTTAGGGGAGAGGAAACTTATCCACATTAATCAGCCAAACTCCACGAGGCTCTCCATCTGCCTTATCTTTATCACCCTTCAAAGGTCCTCGCAGACCAGCATCAGAAAACGAGAGAAAAAAGTCAGCCAAATGATAAATCACTATTGGAAAGTTTAAATGCCCAAGTCGTAGTCTAAGGAATATAGCTGACATCTTGTGTAGCACAAATCCTCAAAAGCAGCCTCCGGCCAATGCCATTAATGTGACCTAGCCTCCCTGGGGAGAGACATTCAGGAGGGAAAAAGGCAAGGGGGCCCTGTGAGGGAGTGATTCTGTAAATCTGCGCTTTTACTAAGAGCACACCTTAAGAGAACACTGCAGGGGCCAAACCCGGTCCATCTGGAGCCAGCAGGGAGGTGGGGGCAGGAGAAGCTGGGGCAGAGGACCCACCTCTAGGCGGCAAATGCAGGAGCAAAAGGAACACCTAGGCCCAGGACTGGCTGACAGGGAGGGTCTGGGGAAGGAAGGGCCTGGAAAGGGAGCAGTGAATACATGAGACTCAGCGTATTATAGGAGTGCAGGGAAAAGGAAATGAGGTTTCCATCTGCCTCACACTGCTCCCCATTCCTCCCATAGTGCCTTGCGCTAGCTTAATGCATACTTTGACATCAAAACCTTCCTGCAGCCCTGCTGACTTCCTCTTTCTGGGGACATGCACGCGGAGGGAGACGTATTCACAACCACATTGCCAGGCCACATGCAATCTCGGGCACTTAGCTGGTAGTTAGCAGATGCACATTGTGCTGCACATTCACTGAGTGACGGATAGATTGAAAGAATAAATGGATGGTAAGATCTTAGTTTGGCAATAAACATGTATTCCAGCTAAAGCCTGGTGCGAATGAAACTTTATGAAAATCCAATAGTTCACAGCGGCACCCAGGCCTTCCTCTGCTTGTTGACTTTTTCAGCTTGTGCTATTCCAGGTGTGTCGGTAGAAATTTGGGAGGGACCAGACACATCCAATTTGTTTAGGAGGGTGGTAGGGAGAAGAAAATAATAATGAAGTAGAGCTGAGAAAAGGAGGCGGCAGGGGTGGGACAGATTCATTTTGAGCAAGATTTTATGAAAAAGGTGCAAATTAGATGCAAAATGGAGAAGCAGAAACTGACATTAATTGCCTGCTCTGTGCCTGCAATTTCTGTGCCAGGGGCTCTCCCTGCATTATCTCATATATTCCCCACAGCAGTAGAACTAGGCATATGACGTAGCCCCACTTAACAAACATGGAAACTGGAGGCTCCAAGAGGCTAAGTAAATTACGGGGGTTCACAGAGCAGGCAAGGAAGGAAACCAGGACCAAAACAGAGTTGTCTGCCCTCCCAAGTTCTCCACGGTGTCACCAGGCAAGAGTGCGGGGCCGGTGCTTTGGTTACGAGGAGGGCAGAACTGCTAAATGTGGTTCCCAGGTTATACTTTATCTCTAGGAAAGAAAGTTCAGTGGAAAGTGGGTCATGGGGCTTGTAGACATACATAAGCAAGTCCCTAGACAGCCACTTACCTGAATATTTTATCAGAAGGCTGTTCTCCCAAAACCAGGTCAAAGCCCCGCTGAAATATTGTGTAAGGCCAAGGCCTAAAAGGAGAAACATCGTTCAATTAAAATCAACTCCACAAACACTCTCAGAACATCCACTTTGTGCGAGAGGCACCATGCTGGGTACTGGAGACCCAGAGACAGAGAGGACCTCATCCCTGCCCTCCAGAGACTCCCACAGACGGGAGCTCACACAAGACACTGAATGCTGGAACCAGACCAAGAACGGTTTCAACGTAAAAATCACTGAACCACTAGGAAAGTGGGATGTCATGGGCAGGACAACAACTACATAGAGAGTAAAATTATATTAAGGTGGACCTCACATAGCTGTAATTCACGGTCCTTCCGATGTAGACCTAACAGACAGACACTTAGATTTGCCTCACTTAAAAAAAGAGGAGCAGCATGATGTCTTGGGAAAAACGAAACCTCTGGAATCAGACAGTTCTGGGTTCAAACACTGTTCTGCTCTTGACCCAACTGGCTTACTGTGGACAGCTTATTTGCCTTGTGGAGTCTAATCTCCTCTTTGGTAAAAATAGGGTTAATAACGGCTGCCTCCAGACCACTGTGAAGATGAAGCAAACCTCTTAGGCCAAAGCCACAGCTCCCATGGGGTCCTCAACATGCCCCCTTTCCCTACTCAAAATGACATGAGGATTCTGGGTCTTGGACAGGTTCCAGATGTTTTCAAACCTTTTAATGTCATTCATTCAAGCGGAAACAATTGAAATGGTATTTTTAAATAATTCTTAACTACAAGTCTCCCTTGTGAGCTTCTAGGTTTTGTCACCTACACTTGAAAGTTAGCAAAACTATTTCATTTAAATAGTACATATCTTTTGGCTAACCCAAATGTCTAACCCCAAAATTATTTACTCAAAATTATTTGAGCTAGACTTAGTGAAGCCCAGGATTGTGTTGGCTACTAGATATCGTGCGTCCTGGGTGAACTGAGCCCTTGTTCCCATGGAACTCAGTCTCAAAACTAACCCAAGGATTAAAGATTTTACTGTAGACATGCCTTTGGTTTTCAAGAACCAGAAAAAGTCAGCAGAATAAATTGACGTAATTATGATTTGGGGCTAATGTTGGGAACTAACCCAGGGGTTGTCAGTGTGGGTGATATCATCCAGTAGAGTGCATTTGGGGACATTCATGGTAGAGAGCTTGGGGGACATTGCTGGCATTTAGAGGGCAGGGCTAGAAAGGCTAGAAGAGTACAGTGCTTAGGATAGCTCTGCGTAACAAAGCAATTCCATATGTCCTGCAAACTACTGAATGTCTCACTACACATTTACATAGGTGAAAACTTGCCTATCGTGACCTGAGCCAAGATGCTAACTCCATTTACATATAAGCACTAAGCAGCTTGTACTGTTTGGATATATGACACATTTTCTACTTGCATAACTACCATGTAAATCGAGGGAAGATGATACATCATTAGAAATTTTACCAAGACTTGTTCGTAAGTTTGGAAAATGGTATCATTGTCCACAATGCTGTTCATGATTTTTGAACCATCAATATGGCACATCCAGATCAGTCTATATTGCTCTTACATATATTGTATATCATATATTATTTTACATATTACATTATGATGAATCAACATCAGGTGCAAATGTCTGTGAAGACTTTATTATTTCTCTTATCGCAATACTACCACAGCATTTACACATTAAAATGGTTACTCTATAATTATAAATTACTTTCTTTTTATTTCTCTTTTAATCACTGTTAAGGCATTATATTTATAGTTGAAATCTTGCATATGTAGATTTTATTATTTATGAATTTCATGTAAGGATTATAAATGGGGTTAAAAATTTATTATAAAACAGGGTGTTGGGTCTGATAGGGTTGAGCACCACCAACTTAACTAGTTAACCAATTAACTAGCCAAAGGAGTTAATAGTTGCAAGGGAAGCCATTAGGACTACATAAAGAAGTGGCTGGGATGAATGCATCTGCTTTTTATGCTTACTATTTATAAACCCTTTACTCCTGGGATTCAATTTAGAAATACCCTGAAGCAACTAGAATTGGCTCCAAAAAGTACCCCACACTGTATTATGAATAACCTCTGCATCAAATAAACAGTTCTCCCCCTTGTGTTTTTCGTGTTTGTTCTCTTTATTGGAGGTGAACCCACAAAGAGGGGTTTGAATATGGTTCTTTTTTTGCTGAACAGCAAGTGGTGGCTTATGGGCAGCTAAAAATTATGTATTAATTCAAGAAAAAGTCTAGAAGTCATGAGGAAAAAAGTCCCCCATGATCTTTGACACCTACTGAAAGGGCAGTAGAAAAAGAAGGACATGCAACTTTATCTCGCTGTTGGGTAAAATCACATTTTATTTACTATCTGTTTAGTAATTTTAAATAACACATATTTTGCCTTCGAGTCATCTCCAGTACTCAAAACTGGTACAATGTGTAATTAGAGTTAATTCTTGGCTTGGTTCCTAGGTTGTTTGAAAATATATTTTGAGGAGCCAAATTTCAGGACTGGCGTTGATTACAATGTGAACAATTAACTGCGTAGAATAACATAAATAAACCTGTATGCAAGCCATAGGTAATAAATCAATGAGTCCACTGATTAAGCACACATCAGCATGTTGCTAGGTAGCTCAGACCAAAGAGCCCTCCTGTTCTCAAGGGGCCTGGAGATTGAGAAAGACAACTCAAATTCCAAGGGCGCAGATGTGCAGGGTAGAACTTGCCCAGATCACAATGAGGGGCGGCAGGGTACAGCAATTAGGACATGGGTTCCGGAACCAGCCTGCCTACTTCCAATTCCAGCTTCACCACCCAATCACTGTGTGATCTTGAGCAAGTCCCTTAATCATTGTGTCCCCATTTCCTCACCTGCAAAATGAGGTTGATGGAAACAATTATATCTGCTTGGCAAGGCTGTCGTGAGGAGGAACGATTTAATACAGCTTAAGTGTTCAGAACGGTCTCTGGCATTTAGGGAGTGTCCTACGAGCATTTGCTAAAAAAGTTAAATTTATCGGTTACCCAAATCAAATATAAATACTCTAGCAAGGAGATTCCTTAATTTCTCTGCAGGAAGAGGTGCAAATGGAATGGTAACACCAGGCTTTAACTCAGATTATACACGTATGTGTGTTGCCTGCCATGGTCATCATTACCCAGGATGAACATGGGAACACCAACGCTCCCCGCCCCCCACCACCCACCCAGCCATTACTTCACAGGACAGTGATGATACAGTATTGACATTAAATACACAGAGAGGGGGTTAGAGCATCCTGTGAAACGGTGAGCATTGCGAACTACTCTAGCAAAGGAATAAAAGAGAATTTATTCATTTTCTTCCCACTGGTCAAGGATGATCTGTCAAAGAGATGGGGATTCTTGTTTGATTTATTTAGCAAATATTTATGGGGGGCCTATTGTGTGTGAACTGTGATACTAGGCAACAAGAGTTGGGATAAGGAGATTCCTGCCCTCAAAGGAATCTATAGTCTTTCTGAAGAAACCCATATATGTCCGGGCAAACAGAAGGGAACGAGTAAACGGGAAGGGGAATGGAGTTCTGGGAGGTAAGCCAGGTGGTAAGGCAGTGGTCGAGTGCTGGGAAGGCTGGGGGATGGCGGTGCCTGGAACAGTAACAGCGGGGAGCTGGGTGTACATGAGTGGAGAGGCTCCAGGGGGCCGCACGGGAAAAGGCAGGGGTAACATGATGAAGAGCTGGACCTAACAGCGCCAGAAGCACTTGGGAACTGAGTTACCCGTGACCACCTGACAGGGGAAAGGCGTCGGTATCAGGGCTGTCTGGGTAGAGGTCCAAGTCAGAAGCCCATCACTGAGTCCTATATCCAGGCTGACGCGGACATTGCCTAAGGGAGGCTTGGAAACAGGGCCCTATGGCCCTCCAATGGTCCCTTTCCTCTCTTTGCTTTGTTTTTCACTCTTCAGGTTTTATTCTCTCAAAATGGCTGAAGCACATGGTGGAGACTTGGCCCCAGTGGCGGCAGCTCATGTCTTTAGATGTTCACTCCACAAAGGGGAGGCTCCCCCTCCTCGTTAGGAAAGCATAACCCATGGAGGAACTGCTTGACATGTCCTGAATCAGACGAGCCACCTGGACCAATCTCTGGGGCCAGGGAAGGAGAGACATCTAAGCAGACGCAATTCCCATTTGGGTTTTAAGGCTCGAACTGGGAGGGGGAGTGAATGTCAAAGAGAATAATAATTTCCACCTCAGCCTCTATTTGCTTGTGGGGCAAAAGTGCTGCCTCCATCAGAAGTGGGTGGCATCCCTGAGCAGATCGTGTCAAGATTAGTTCTGTGGAAAGAGCGCGAGGCCGTGGAGTTGCCCAAGGGTAGCATCAGGCCGGGTGTGGGCACGAGGTTGAACCTTACCGTTGGAAGGAAACTTCACTCTCTTGACTCCAGCTTAGATGTGTGGCCTCCAATATTTTGTGTCCTGCGCTGGACAAGCCAGTCACAGCTTGTTCGCTGAGGAACATTAGCAGCCTCAGAAGTCAGAATAGAGTTTATCTGTTGGTTAATTTCTGCATTCTGACCAATCAAGACCCTGAAGGCTGCCCCCCCTCCCATGTGGGCAGCGACAGATGGCCTAGATTCGGGGTCAATCACAGGCCAGCATGACAACCAGGTGGGACCCATGGCCTCAAACAGGAGCAAAATCCCTGCTGCAGTAATGGGACACACAGCAGCCTGTGGGACACACACCCAAACTGGGGAAGCTGGGAACTATTAGTCATCTTTTATTTGCCTTTTCCTCTCTCCCCATCTCACACTATACCCACAGTCTACGCAGACTCTTTCCTAAACACGGGCAACTCCCAGACTTTCAGCTTCTCTCCTTAACTCTTCCTCTTCTTCCCCAGGACACATCAGCAGTCATGGGGTTTTCCCCTTTGGTCTTGGTGTTGGGCTGGGCCAGAAGCTGGCTGTGGCCTTGACTTGACCTGACTGGGCCTTTGGGCATTTCTGCCACTATGTCACCTAGACATAAATGAGCGGGTGAACATTCT